GAGTTCATTTCAAACTGCTTTAAGACACTACTGCAGCCACTATGAAACACACAGTGAATCCAGATAGAATATTTTTATATTGCAGTTTGGTTTCCAGTTGAGAAGTGTAAATCTGTCTTATTTGTTGACATAGGCCTAAATGTATGCCTTAGAAAGTATTTTTTTTTCCATGTATTGAGGAGAAGTCTCAGTTACGATTTTTTTTTTTTTTGCCACAGAATTTTTTTCCATGAGATTTTTAATCTATTTTGATAGAAGAAGTTTCATTTTGATATGTTCTTGATAAGTAAGAATTCTTTTCAGAAAACATTCTGAAATTCAGGCATATGGTTTGAGCTAATATAATTTGGTTTGCATTGCACACTAAAAATACAGTTCACATTAAATATTAATGTAATTTCTTGTAGCTTTTGGATTTGGGGCTTTTTAAGAATGGAAGACTTCTCTACGTTACCTGTAGACTGTCTTTTGAGGGGCATTCAGATCATCCTGAAGATTATGTTTGCCAACAGGGATAATGGGAAGTGTGTTTCAACTGGTGGAGGAATGGATGCTGGCTAAACATTGTATTCTTTTTTTTATTGTTGAATTTTGTTAGTGATATGTGTAGGACAGTTTTCAGGATGTATTCCATGTCCAGATGTCTTAAAAAATAGTATTTTGCATCCAAATGGAAAATATATATAAAACTTCATCCTGAAGACAAAATCTTTAATTTCACAAATTAGTTCATAATACACATACTGCAGTATATTTGCATGTCTTGTAGTGCTGTGTTGTGTCTGAGTAATTTAAATCTAATTTAGTAAGCAGTTTGATCTAGCTTTAGTTGCTCTTGGAAAATATGCTCTCAGTATAAATGTGTCACACATGCTTTGCATGAATTTAAACTGTATGACTGCCATCGTTAGTCTAGAATGATTACCCATCTGTTATCTTTTGAATAGAGTGCTTTTTTGTATGTAGAGAATGACAATGTTAAACTTTGATTTATTTTTGTAACTGGTTTTGAAGAAAGGGATTCCTCACTGCAAAGCCTAAGCCTGTTAAAATTATTTGTGGAAGTACCCAGCCTACAGACATCCCATAAGCTTTTTCTGCAGTGCTATCAGTTACTTGGTGTTCTCTCCAACAAATGATTTTTCATGCTCAGTTTATGGGGGAAAAAAGCCTAAGTCTAAAATATCTCTAAAGGGAACTTCTTCTAAGCATCCTGATGAAAACTCAACCGATCTATCAGATTTTGGTGGACTGTAGAGGAAGGAGTGCAGTGATGTCTGAATTAGCACCTGAATGCCTAAACATCTGAACTAAACAGATAACAGAATTTTACGGAATGTCAATAAATTGGAGTTTGGCTTGTAAGTTGGTTCAGAATCACTTGTGCTTGAAAGTGAAAGCTCAGCATCTTCACAGAACTATGTGCAGACATAGTAGGTTTTTAAAACCTTCATTCTTCTTATCATATTTAGCCTCAACTTTTTAACAATTGTAATTGTCCACAGAAAACATTTTGAGATAAATGCATTATCGGGTTTTGAAATTTTCTTATTTTTGTAAATACTAAGACCTGGGGGGCAAAATAAGGGCTATATTGTGGATTAAGTGAAATATCTCAAGGCTGTGCTTTTCTGATAACTGAACCTGAAGTGACCTTTCTCAGACACAATTACAGAGCTGTATGTTTTTCCTTTAATTTCATCAGGGGTTTAATTAGTATACAAATAAAACTTCCCTTATCTTCCTTTCTACCTAATTGGCTTGTCTTCGCGTATATATGAAGAATGTGAAAATGGGCTGTAATTAGGGTGACCGTGTTAACCTTTTTTTCTCAAATGTACTGTTGCCTAAAGGCCTCAAGGCCTAAAAACAGTGCTTTGGATTATTGCTTTGCAATCACTATGGCTCTCCCATAGGTTTTCTCATGAGCAGAAGGGCTTTGGGTGCTGCAGGTTCCCACTGCTTAACGGGATCTTCATTCTTCTCCCCACTAAATGTTTATTGATTATCTCACTGCTCCACACTCAGCCTCCAACAACTTAATATCAGGTGACAGTCAGGAGAGTTCTCCAAGTAATTAGAGTGGAGCATTGAGGGAACAATTAGGAGCAGAGTTATTAAACTTGATTTATCCTATTCTCTCCTGAACACTTTCTTGGATATCAGAACATCACACTTTCACAATCTACCCTGGCTGAGAAATTAGTGGCTAACCTGCTGCTTATCATTGTTGCCTTGCTGCCTTGAGGCACACCCTCTTGGTTTCAGTCACTCAGCTGGAAATATTAGAGTCCATAAAGTTTATCAAGGGTTTTAATTAGATCAATCTGAAGAAGGAAAAAAAGAGAGGCTTAGCAGCCATTACTTTAGAATACTCCACACTGTATTTGAGCAATTTCCAAGGCTTGACTTAAACCCACAGTAGCAAGGAGCTTCAAGTGAATGCTGAAACTGCTTTTGGAGAGCTAAAATCAGTTTACATTTTGCTTAAATATTGCAATATTATTGATAGATAAAGTCTGAATCCTTTGGAGATTTCTGTAAATAATGGTGAAAGTTTAGAATATAATAAAGCAGCTGTTCAGTGAGATATTTGATTTAATCACTTTCTGTATTGCTTCATCACCAGCTAGTGTGGATTGATGGCTGTGCCTCTCAAAGAGTTAGGCTTCACGATTTCATCCCTGTTTTATTGCCTTATTAATAGGCCTGCACTTGCAATTGGTAAGCAAGGTTAGTTAGCAGCTCCCAGAAGATTTTGACACCTAGTGGATCTCTTCACCATTTGTGGTCAGTGATCAAAGCTTTATGCAGGAGCAGACAACTCCTCAGCCCTGTAGAAGGATAGCTATCTAATAAAAATGAAATAAATATGCATAATGTTCCTATTATCCTGTCTTTCTTCACTCATTTAAACCACTAGAATCTTGGACCCAGACTCTGTTCCAGCAGCCTGTACATCAAAAGTTGTTTGCATCAAAATATTAGCAGAATTATCTGTTCTACATTGGCCAGAGCTCAGTCCAGTGACTGCATCTTAAAAACAGATTTTTCAATCAGATGTGAAAGTGGGCTGAACAGAGCATTGGCAGCGGAGGCATTGTTCTCTGTTCAGTAAATTTTTTCTATCAAAAGATGGGAATATGGATGGGGAAGGAACAGGACTTGGTTTTGGAGCTGTTTCCTCAATGCTGACTTAGCCTAAAACAAACAAACAGTAGACACAATAAATGGAAGAAGATAACATTCTTTGTTCTTAAATTAAAGATAGCTCCTTTTATCCTTGCTAATCCACATCTGGTTTCTTGGAAATAACTTTTCTGAAAAACTGAACAATTCACAACTTCAGCTGTCCAGACAGGGCTTTGATACCTGCTAGTGGCATTAGGGTAGAATTTCTGAAAGCAACACTTCTGGTTTTGGATATCTTTATGCTCATAATGAAGTGGAAGAATGAGATCTGTGTGTTTATCTTTGTTTGAATGAAAAATGGCATTCTTCATCAAAAATAATGACATAGGAGGCGAAATAGAGTCATTCAGCCTGCAGTAATTTGAGCAAGACTAATATTGGCATTTCTGGGGTTTGGAGTTTCTTAAATAAACTGCTCTGATTGTTTTTTCTCTTACAGCAGTGACTAAGCTCAGCCTGAACAGAGGGTTCAGGTAGTGGTGTTGTACCTTCCAAATACACTGTTGAAATAACTGGTTGCTTTTTTGTGTTGAGAAGTATTTGAAGAAAACTTACACCAATCCACGGGTTTCAGTTTATTTTGCAGTATTATGCAGTTTTATGCTGTACTTTGTTATTTTATAGAAATTTCTCTAGCATATCGTTTTTTGAAATGCTTTTGACTCTTGGCTGGGTCTGAAGCTTTTTCAAATTAGTTGGGTTTTCAGTGCCCTCCAAATTTTTTCAGCCTTTTGTATATACTGTTCTTATTACATATCCACAGCATAATACATATTCTCCATGTCCACAGTCCAAGTCAAGTACTCCTGAGTACAAATTATGCAGAGCATTCTTAGAACATAAGCAGAAAACATATCCATAAATTTTAAAAACAAGGTGCAAGAAGAGCTCAGTCCTGCAACTGTGCAGCCTTCTCTATCCTTCCACGTTGGTTTAGTATCTGTCAGGGAATTTGCATTTTATAAAAGAATGTTTATAGCCACCTATTATAATTTCTTTCTAAAAAGGCAATTAACAGCTGTAAGTAAAATGTAACATTTAGCAAACTATGAAATCACATTATTTATACTCCAGTCTATAAAAGTATTGATTTATCCCAGCAGAAAGGAGTAGTAACTAGCCCAGGTTCTGTATTAATTAGTTTGGTGTGCTATTTGTCATCTATTGGATTAATCTGAATTGATTTAAAGCATGTTGTGTTAATTCTAAGCCAGAGAGAAACATTAAAAAAAATACATGTCCTATTTTGCATATTGGAAAACTAATGTTAAAATAGTGAAAGCACCATAAAGTGGTGATTTATTCTCAGCAAGAATTGCAGCAAAACTGTACTTAATGCGCTACCAGACAATATTAGATTATTTTTTTAATCCTGAAATTTCTGAATGGTGCAGAATATTTAAATGAATGCTACTTTGTTTATTCCCTTTCTTTGGGAATTCTTTTCTTTAATGCTGATTTTAAATTAAGCTTTGAGAATACTCTGTTCTCTTTAATGCTGTACTCTTATTTTCACTGTGATTAGAGCTGATATTTGTAAATATAGTACCTGTAGCATAGTATACGTACCTGTTTGATCAACAGATCACTTTATTTTACAAAACATATTTGTACATAGGCAATACACTAAAAACTGGGGGGTTCTGAGTTAGTAATGTTTTTGCTAGAGAATTCATAAAATCTTAGTATGTAATGGTCCAAATCTACTTCACAGTCAGTCTGTTTTCCACTTTGTTTAATAGCCTATGGCATAAATTGAAGTTAATTATTTGGGCTGACAAGTAACTCTGCTTTCTGTCTGCTTGCAGAGACTCTCCGAGGCAAAGATGGAGCTGAGAAGAAAAGATCAATCTCTGCGTCAGCTCAATAAACTTCTTACCCAGCTGGAGCAGGACAAGCGTCGACTGAAAGAGAGCATCCATGATGCAGAGAGTGCCCTCTGCATGGCAGCGAAGTGAGCGCTGAGACCTTGGGGAGATCACTTAAAACAGACAAAAGATCAATTCTTACTTTCATGCACAGGGTTTTAGCCCTGGCTAATGTAATGCTAGAAAACAAAAGTACATCTGTCTCTCTTTGAAATTCAGTGGTAGTCTTCTAAAAAGAAAACTGTTAGTTTAAGATACTAGATGGTATGTTTTCTGTAGTTATTCCATAATAGTGCTCCCAATTCTAGGTCCTGAAATAGCATGGGCATTTTTGTTTGCCAGTTATCTTACTGATTTGACAACATCTATTTGGCAGATCTCTAACGCTTTGTTTATTTAAGAAATGACTGCTTGTTTTTTCTATTTCCACATCATCTTTTTATAGAGACATACAACCTTTTTATAATAAAAACGGGAACGTCAGCTAGGTGACAACTCTTAGCTGCCGAAGGGGCTGAAACCCATTTGGACCTAGTCTTATGTATGGAACAGGATAGATCTTTCAGCTGATTTCAGAGAGTTTTGAATTTAGACATAAAGCCCATACCTTTTTATTCCATAACCTGGAGAGTGGAAGGAAATGTTCAGGGACCAGTCTTGGAAAGATTGGTAGTCAAAAGGTGTTCCATTGACTTGAATGAGATTATTACTAACCTCTTACAGTCGTATAGTCAGATAAAAAGATAAATCTTTGCAGACTCTGATCTCTGTTACTCTATTGTAGTGTGCGCTTTGAATGATTTGGTCTATAGCTAAGATTTAAAAAAAGTTTAATTTAAAATTAAAATTTCTTATTATACCTGGGATACATTTGACCTCTGAAGAACGATAGCTTACAAGCTTTAATGGTTTTATGTACAAGTGAAATAATGTAATTAATATGGCTATCAGTGAAATGTTTAACAAGCTAATTAAAATGACAAATGTTATTTATTATGAGTGTACTAAAGCTGGTGTGATCTGGAGAAGGATTTGTTCTGGAAAGCTTGGCCCTTTTCACCATGTCCCAACCTATTTTACTCAATCTAGTAAAGATTGTTCCCTGTGGCCCTTCTTATATTCAGAAAAGGTTATTTCAACATGAAGTGGTTTTATTTCTGTAGATGGCAGTTGAATATTGACAAAGAAAAACCCCATACCATTTATTGTCCTACCAGCTCTTCATGACAAATGTCTTTTCTTCCCCTTTGGAACATATAACCAAAGTAGGTGAAACAGACTTGACTTCTGTGCAGAAAGTCTTATTTTAGTATCTCTTCCATAACCTGAGTGTTTGTAAGCAATGCATGAGTGTCTTTCAAGTTCTTTCCTAATCTTTTGTACGGCTTTAAAGAACAGCAAGATGGCTGGCTCATTCTGAGAATTGTGACCTTGATTTTCTTGCAGTGGTGGCCAGCAGTTCTGTTCTACTTTACTCCAGAGTGGGAAGCAGTATTAATAAAAGTGTCTGATAGCAGCGAACGTGACAGAAATTTAGGAGCTGTTTGGTCATTCCTCTGCTACACAGAAACTCTCTATCAAACCTTCACCACAGCTATTGTGTAGAAGATGATGTAAAGCATGTTCCTTGTGCCTGAACTACATTTCAGGATAATAATCCTAAAGAATACTTCTATGATCCAATTATAATTTGCCTTACAACTGTAGGAGTTGATGAATACCTGAAATAAAGATGGAATAAAACATAGATCCTGGCATATAGGGGTGCAATAGATGCATTTTTTTTAAACTTTTTTCGTAGGTGCTATAAACAAATATTACCAGACTTTTATTTTAAGATATTATTTAAGAGAATAAATCAGAAGTTCACAAAAATAAGAATCTGGGAACCACCTATTATCCTGGGTCCAAAATTCCATCTAAAGATACTTTCCTTTTTATGATGAACACCTGAGAACATGCGAGGAACAGTCTGACTTCTATGTCAGTACTTAACGTAGAAATTAATGGTGTTGAACTGGCTCTCTAGAACTGACTTCACCGAGACAAATAGCAGTCACTACATAAACACAGCCAGCAGAGAAGGTGAACAGCATGTCCCTGTCAGTCTAGTCCAAAGAAAGGCAGGATCCTGAAAAGAGAGAAATCTCTGTGACAGCTTTACTAGGAATGTAAAAGCCAGTCCTACTTTTCTGTCCACCATCCTGTATTTGCTGTTGGGATAGTATGAATCAAGAAATGAGGAAGCAGTAGTCATTTCAGGCAGAACATCACCAGGGTTTTGACTTCTGTTTTAGGAACTGTAAGAGCTCAAACAAAATATTCTCATAGCTGGCAAGGTAAAAGACAGTCCTAGAATGTTAAGGAGTCTGCTTTTCTGGCGTAGATTCCATTTTATTTCCTATGGTGTTTTGTTGGCCATGCTGTCCTGTTCTCCTTAGTCATATGCTATTATGCATCTTTAATTTCATTTCTGTCAATGCATCAGATGAGACCAAGGTTTTTTATGGCGGCATAACTGAAGTTCTTTCTTACTGAAGCCCTAATCTACAGAAAGGCATGAGAGTGGTATTTCATTATCCAGACTTCTGTTTCGTAAGGATAGAATCCTTGACTGAACTTTTAAAAGACATGATATTTATAAAGTAGCAGAAAATTAATTTCTACATTGCTAAAGCTTCAGTTCTATTAACTACTCTGTTTTTTTTTCCCCCTCTTGTATTAGAGACAAAGAACTGATTATTAGTCATATGAAATCTGTGGAAGCCACTCTTTGCAAGGTAAGAATTTGAAGTGCTTGCTCTGCATTTGTATTTCTAAACACATCAAGGTTTTACAACTGCTTATTCTCAAGGAAGGAGGGGAGTAGAAGTTGTAAAGCAATTTCCTTCCCTTCAAGTTTAAGTTTCCACCTTCAACTTCTTTCATCTCCAAAAACTATTCATATTTAGTGAAATAAAATACGATTTTGTAGTATATGGACTTCTTATTTTTAATATAAAACTTATTACAAAATTCACCTTCCTTCCCTCAGTCACTGAGCACTTTTCCTGGTTACCAAGTGAGGACTATTGATCATCCAAACAATTCATAATTGCTGCTGAGTTAACTCTCTCTACTGAGTAAGGTAGAGATCTTTTTGTGAGGTCGCATATGTGGTGGCCATAAGACATTTGGCATTGCGCATGCTACTTTAATCTTTGATACATGGTAAATAAAATAAGGAAAAGAGAGTAAATATTAACCTGTAATCAAATACTTTAATATTTTTTAAAAACATTTTTAAAAGTGAGTAATAATCTTAATTTGTCTGACTTTGTACTATTTTGCCCTGGTATAGTATGCTTTGAAGGTCCTACAAAGCTATATATACTAATTATTTGGGAGGAAGGTCTGGTTTTAGCTGTAGCTCTAGTGGCTGATTGTTTTATAACTGTTTTTAGTCCAGAGCAACACAGAGCAAAAGAAGTGTTTTTATTACCTGGGAGTGTTCATTTCCCTTATCCCATCTTGAATTCCCAGCAACACAGGAATCTATTCCTTATTTTAGTTTTGATGTCCACCAAAACTGCTGTTAATTTAATTTTCAGATACCTTTCTCAGTTTTTCCTTTCCTTTGATGTTCACAAAAAGTGACAGTACCTAAACTGTGTGTTTTAGCTGTAGCAAACTATGCTGATTGGTAGTGTCTTCCTTTGTGTCCTCTTCTTCACACTGGCTTCTTTTAAGCTTGGGAAATCTGCGTAATGCAGAATGTGTTGTGTTTTTACTGTATCAGGTACATGTAACGTCATTGGCCTTGAGAATTTATTGTTCTGGATTGCAAGTTTACATTTTGATTTAGAAAGCAGTGCTGTATATGCACAAGGATTAAAAAGTTTGGTGAAAGGTTACAGGGAAGGTCTCGTGCTTAGTACTGATTTTCCTGATGCAGTGAGTGGATCAAGAAACTCCCATCTTTCTCTGAGAATTTTAGTTACTACATTTGCTTCGTAGTTCTTGATGTACATAGTTGTTAGGCCCAGATAGCTTATTATTGAGTGGCAGAGTAATTTATTCTTTCTGGTTTGTCAACCTAAAGAATGAAAAATACATAAGATTTAGAAATGTCAGGATGCTCCTTTCAGCAGGAAAAAAACAGCAGGAACTAAAAAGAATTGATTGTAAATCATTCATAATTTGACATGTCATTTCTCCTAGAAGAACGAAGGGAAATTATTGATCTTTGTTTGGGATATATCTGAAATGTAAGCCCTACGTCATAGTGGTAGCTAATTATCTAACATGAATGAACATGGCTTATGTGTAAACTATCAAGTTTACACTGTTGTTCTTAAAGGTTTTCTCATGCAGTGAAAAAATCAGAACACTAGTAGAAAAGGAAGCACAAGCCTGTCTTTTCTCTCATAGAAATTCTGGGAACTGCTTTTGTTTTCAAAAAAGGAATCCAAAGAAAATGGATAAAGTTCAGAATCATCTGGAGTTGAACAAGTATTACTGTTAGCTGTGGATATATTTATGGGAGCTTGAAATTGAACATTGTGATATTTCTACGTTGATGTATTCATGAGCAAATATCCACAAAATTCCACTGCATCGCTTGTAGGATCTGTGTTATCAATGCATAATGCTAAATTTTTGCCTATAGAGCTCAGAGGGATTTTACAGACATCCTTAGTAATCTTAGTTAGACTAAGGATAAGACAGCACGCACTCATATCCATTAAAGCAAACTCATTCTTTTCCGTACTATTATCACTACAAGAATCCAGAAGGCAGCAATGTAGGTACTAGATCATCTGCCTTTGGGTGTACTTGGGTGTAACATTCAGAAAACAAAGCAAAAAGAAGCAGAGCTGAGGGAGACAGTGCATGCTTCTAATACAGCTGTAGATAAGGGTTCATTTACAACACTTAGCACCCCCACCTCCCGCGCCTGTGACTGGATGGAAAATCTAGTATCATACATTTGGCTTTGTCAACAAGTGCTTGGGCATGCTTGTGCCCAGAATGATTCTTTTAAGACCATTTCAGAGCCACCTTTTTAAATCTTCATGAATGTTTATGAAGCATAAATGTTGAAGAACTTGAGCATGTGCTATGCTAAGAGAGAAAATATTTTTAGCAGCTAGTTCTGTATCCTACATAACCTGCAAGATATTCTTTAGAAGGGTATTTTTTGTCTTATCCTGGGTCTTGTCATGTTAGCTATCTTCATCTGAGTCCTGGAGCTGGATTATGTGCACAAGAGTTCCTGATACCATTAAAATAAGAGATCTTTCTTGGTTTTATACCATCTGAATATTGAAGACAAATATCAAAGTGCAAAGTGAATGTTTTACCAAATTTAAAAAAAAAAAAACAACAAAACACCACCAGGGGCAAACAAAGGACCTCAAGAAAATTGTGTTTTGGTTCAGTTTTATTGTTGTAATATTAAAGATGACCAAAAGGTAATAGCTTTTTTTTTTTTTTTTAATCTAGGTTTGGAAAACAGGTGCATTTTTTTTTCCCCTTCCCTAGAATCTGTTAGATAGCCTTACACTGAAAAACTGAGCAAAGTAAAACAGGTTTAAACATCAGCCACTTAGAGAATTTGTGTCCATGACTTGACCGATTCCTTTAAAAAAGAAAAAAAGCCCAATGTAAGATGCAAAACAGTAACAGAAATTATTTTTTACTGGAAGAGTTCTCAGAAAAAATTCCATCTGCTTGAAGTTCAAATATAAAGAGTTTTCTTAAAAAGTCATCTTATCAAGAGGAAAAAGCATTTAAGTAAATGTCTTATTTTAAAACCCATCTGCAGTCCTTTTTTTATGTATTAAAAATAAATGATTTCTTGAAACACCTTCCTCTCAAAAATATGTTGAGAAGTTATTTTAGTAATAAATATACCCATGTTATACTTGTTGATAAACGATGTTTCATTATTAATTTCTTCTGTACTTCTTAAGATCATGTTTGCACAAACAGAGTAAGGGACATTAGATCTGTTCATTTCAAACAACTGCATTCTTTAACGTGTAGTTAATGAATTATTAGCTATGATAATCCCATCCGTGGAAGAAATCATTTTACATTCTCTCTGCTAAAATCTTCGGCCTTCCCTTTGTGTTGCTTTGCAGTTTGGGTGCTTGTGGTGGGTCAGCCTTGGCCAGCAGCCAGATGCCCACCCAGCCGCAATCTCACTCCCCCTCAACAGTACATAGGGACAAAATAGGATGAGAAAGCTTGTGTACTAGGTACTGTCACAGGTGGAGCAGAGTTGGCTTGGGGAAAATTATTTTAATTTCTTTATTAAAATGGATTTGGATCATGAGAAACGAAGACAAAAAAAATTAGCATCGTCCTGCCTTTCAGGCTCAACTTCACTCCTGAGTCCTCTGGCCATGCTCTGAGGTGCAGGGCGGGTGAGGGACAGGGGACTGCAGTCAGTCCATAACAACTCCTCTCTGCCGCTTCTTCCTCCTCGTGCTGTTTCCCTGCTCCAGTGTGGGGTCTCCACATGGGCTGCAGTCCTTCAAGAATACCTGCTCCAGCGTGGGCTCTCCATGGACTTCAGTTCCCTTACAAGCCTGCTCCAGCATGGGGTCCTCCACAGGCTACAGTGTGGACATGTGCCCCAGCAGGGTCCTCTTCATGGGCTGCAGGGAAATACCCAATCTGGTGCCTCAGGCACTTCTCCTTCCCACTTTTTCTCCCACTGGTGTTTGCAGGGCTGTTTCTCATTCCTTTTCTTCCCTCCTCCTCTGCCTCTGTGGTGATTTCTGCCCTTTCTTACGTAGCTTTTCACAGAGGAGCCACCAGCTTGGCTGAGGGGCTCGGCCATGCCCTGTGGTGGGTCGGTTGGAGCCATCTGGAACTGGCCGCTCCTCACAGAGGCCGCCCTGCAGCCCCCGCTGCCATTGCCTGGGCACTGCATCTGGTACAGCGCTGTAACTGCCCCTTCTTCAGCCTCCCTCCATCCCTCTTCTCTAAACTCTGCCTGTGCAAAACACCACCATGGGAAGTCATCCCAGTGAGTCAGCCTGTACAGAGACAGAAAATTGTTTTTGTTTCCCCATGTACTTTTAACTGTTAAAGTATTGGCAAGCTTTATGGGCTGGCAGAGTTTTCAGCCTGTTCCCAGCCCTGGCTGCTTGGGTATTTGGCCATTTTAACAGGTTAATAAAATACCGTGTCTTCACAAGCTTAGACTGTTACCCATTACCCTGTGAGGCTGATGAGCTGTGATAATGAGAGTAAAAAACACAAAAAAGCCTCCCCCAAAAAATCTTTTTCCCAATACTGGTTAGCAACCCACTCATTCTGACACTTTGGGACAGTTCACGGATCAAAGCACCTGTCCATTGTGCTTCTTTCCTTTTGGCACTTGGTTAGAAAAATTCTTCTTCATCCACTTCTGTAACGCACTTCATTTCTGCTGATTGAAAGGTTCATGTGCCAGCTGGCAGAACAGCTTCCACACAGAGCCATCAGCTTTTAAATCCTTCCACCATTGCGTTTCGTTGCCTCAGTGCTGCTCCCCTTCCACCCCTGTTGTCTTCTCGGAAATGTCCCTAAGCTGGCTATGCGTGAGGCCCCACAGTTCTATCCATTGTAAAAAATCTCAACACAGTACAATCCATCCTGTTATATACTTGTAAAATACAAATGCAAAATTATCTTTCTTTATCCAATTTAACAATGTTTTTAATACAAGACAAAAAGACAGTTGGAGATGGGCCGAGACCTTTGAAGACTTGAGAATTAGTAACATTATATTGGTATTTCTGATGTG